TAAAAGTCTAATGGAACAATGTTGGGATGCTAATCCATTAAAAAGTCCTGATATTAATACACTTTTTAATAATATTATTGAAATTATTTTATATTATCTAAATAAACCTGATGAACTACCTCAATCAATAATACAAGTAGACGAAAAAACAAGCAATATCATGAGTAGTAAAATATTTACAAGTAAAATTCATAATTTTGAAAATCTACCTGAACCAAAAAATGCAACAGAAGGTATGCTTTTTAATGTTCATTAACTATTTGGTTTTTTTTCTTTAACATTATAATTAACAATACTTTTTTTTAATTGAATAATAATAGAAGAACAAAAAGGTAATATAAAGTTAATAATGTTTTAGTATAAATCCTTTAATTAATAATCTTTTTTTTTTAAAAAAAAACAGCATTTTATACCACTAGATCATATGATTTTAGTATTTCTAGTAATGGTAAGTATTTATTAAAATAATATTGAATTTTATATAAATAAAATAACATATGATTGATTTTCATTATAGCTAGTAAATCAAGTAAAATTAATTTTAAAGGTAATTTATTCTTATATTAGTGTTTTATAATGAATAAATACTAATTTATATCTTGATTATAGATAATGATAGTAAAGAATCGTCCAGATTATTTAAAAAATTGAAAATGGAGAACGGTAAAGCCTTAAATATTTAATTCTAATTTTCGTTGAATATAAGAATGAATATTTTATTAAATTTGATTTATTAAATAATAGATGACGTTCAAAATGACTACGCGAGAGAAATAATGCAGCAACGATCAAATATTAGTATTAATGGTAAGTAAAATAAATTATTTATAATAATGATCAGTTATTATTATTCTAATTTATCTTATTTATATAGATGAAGTACAAAATAATCCAAATATTCATTCAGAAGAAAAAGATAAACAAGAAACTCCCGATGGTTTGTTTATAATTTAATATTTTAATGATATTAAAATAATATATTATATTTATTTACTAATATATTTATTCTCTTTAGATGGATTTTAAATTAATTTACTTGAAAATAAATTCATTTTTTTACTATTTATTATTTTATTTTGGAATTATTTAAACACTAAGATTAGAGTAGTAAAAAGATTCTTAGTTTGTAATTTAAAATAATTCAATTCTCTATTTTTTATAGGACTTTTCAATTATTAAATAAAGATAGTAATTATAAATTTATTATAAAATATTATGTGACAACAGAGTAATTGTGTAACAACATATTAGTGTTTGCAATAAAAAATTATTTATAAATTATTCATTTGATTATTATTTTCAATTGTATAAATTTTAATAAATATGTTATAAATATTTAAAATGATTATTATTCATCAAAAGCGTTAACCCATTTTACCAACATTTGATTAGATTGCGTCCAGTTTTCATCTTTTAATTAATATTCATCTGGTAACCCGTTTCCAAACCCTCAAAAACTAAATCCTCGTCCTGCTATTACGGCTTTCATGGCGTATATTCCTGAACCTCGACCAAAAATCCAATTTTCGAAGACCCGGCATATATCCAATCTTTAAAATAAAGGTCAAATATCAAGCGATGATGTAATAAAATAGGACGTCAACAAAGTCTTGTTGATATTTCTTGGAACATTGAACGTAATATTAATTAATGAAGATTTACTATTTCACGTGATGATACTAATTCAAAGTCCAAATGTGTTACAAAACTTAGGACTTCAAAAATTAGAATATTTATGTTTAGCGCTTGCTTTTTGGATAAATGATCTGGAAATATTTTTAAAAATTCACAAAACACTTTTATTAAGAAATTACTATTAATTAAAGGTAAAGCTGAATTTCACAGGGTCGGCGCTTTATAATATTCGTATATTTATTTCTATATCAAATAAAAAACCGCATATCTTCCAACAGGGCGGACATCCCCATATTATCACGATATTGCCGATCATTTTGCCGATCACTTGTCCAATATTATCACATAAAAAAATACCGTTGAATTAGTTTTTTCACAAATTCTATATAATTATGTATAAAATTTTGATTTTATTTACTTTATTTTATTTATTGTTAATAAATTAGTTCTTAAAATAATTCATAAATATTCATAAAGATTTTGTCAAATATCACTGTCTCTTATACACATCTTGCAGTAGTTCAAAGATCCGATTTTGATCAACTAAGTGTATCCAGTGTTGTACATGGGACATGTCCCGCCAAAATTTTAATGTCCTGTCCATGTCCCGTCCACGTCCCATCCAAAAATTGTCCAAGTTTACAATTTGTCTTATTAAGAACACCTAATGGACTATAATTTCATATTTAAGATTACATGATTTTAATGTTCCAATGTCCGGACATTGCTAAAATCTTTGGACGTGTCCTGGACTGTCCTGTCCTGTCCCATCTATGGACATGTCCCGTCCCTATGACAACACTAAGTGTATCCAATGAATCTGAAGCTAATTCGACCAATGAATCTGAAACTAATTCACGAGGCTCTTCAAGTAATTCGTCTCCAAGCTCTTCCGGTTCTTCTGGTAAGATAAAAACAAAATAATTCTTGATATTCAATGCTTTATATATTATGGTTTGACTAACATTTTTTGATTGCAGGCTTGAGCCAAAAATTCGCAAATATCATTTCTGTAATTTGGGAACAATTTACGGTGAGATCCCCCAATTCCCTCTGTCATCAATTTACAGAGTTGCCACATCGAATGGGCATTCCCATGGTCGAACGAACGAATGAACGAACGAACGAACAATTGAACGAACGAGCAAATAATCAACAGCATAATTAACGAACAACATAATCAACGAACAATATACAACAACATTCTTGGTTCATGACATAAATAGCGNATAATATACTGTAAAAGTTTCAAGTTTCGCCCGAAGATCTGTGGCTTCGCCCGAAGCTTCAAAGTCACGTTAGCAGATGATCGGCATATATATAGCATATATATTAATTATTGAAAATTTGACGTAAAATCTAACTTTGGAAACACACCTTATTTTGCCACAATACTTTTATATTAATTTATTGATAACTGAAACTATTAAATAAAATAATTTAACATAAATTGTCAGAACATTTATTGCTTGGAATAAAGCTTCAAATTTAACGTGATATCACTTATATCATGATCGGCAAGTGATCGACATTGTGATATAATGCATGTCCGCCCTGTTATATCTTCCCAAATCCTTCGCAAATCGGTCCTTATATATCGTTCAAAATTCTGTACAAATTCGTACGCGTCTATCGAACAAATTCACCATCCGGCCAATTTTGCCCTCCGGTGTAATGCCAGGAATTACCTAGTGAATTTATTAATTGTAGGACGCAGTATCATATTTAGTTTTTAAAAGTGTAGAAAATTTTAAAGTGTTATAATTGTGGAATGTAACATCCGTAACGATGTAAAACTATTCTTGTGTTCGGATTTATTTTAGATTAGATCTGGGAACTATGTTCGGAATATTATTATAATAAGAAATGGGATTGAAGATCAATTTTTGGAAATTTAAAATTTATCAAAGGTGGAAAACTATACTTTTGACGGGAAACCATGAAAATGAAAAGGATTTATTAAAATCAAAGGATGCCAAAATCAATATTGGAAGAGTTTAGAAAGGAAGACCAAACAATTTTTATGAAGCGTATTTGATCAAGTAAAAAGGAGATTTTTGAGATTAATTTTTAGTATTACATTATTATATTAACCAAGCATTGTATTGATTATTACTCGTGTCAATATTTTATATTACTGCATTATTAAATAAAGTACTATTTCACTATTTGTTGTAGATCAAGGTGGCAATGTGATTTATCGCTGATCAGACGATTTAGCCGTCCAGTTAAGCCACTCCTATCTTAGCCATCACATCTAAGCCTCCGATTTCCTTCTATATGCCCAATAAATAAATAAAACTATATAAACTAGAAAAATAAAAAAAATAAACTATATACATATATAAAATAAACTATAAATATAACCTTAAACTAAAAATAACTTATATATATAAAACATATTCATGGATTTCTTATAACCAGATTTTAATAAGATTCCGGTTAATCAAAGTCAAGTCATATAGATTGCATGGTAACTTTTTAAAAAGAAAGCGAGGGTAAAAATTGATTGAAAAAAAAATTAAGTAAAAATTTCGAAAAGGACATATTTTTCTAATTAATTTGAATTTTTGCCTCGTGCAAAAATGTTCGTTAGCTTATTAAAATACGTTTGTAAACTTAAACTGGCTGGAATTATTAACTTTTTAAGATAATCTCGCGATAAGACTTTTAAAAACATTTTACTTGTTTATATACAAATCTTCATATTTCTTTATTTTTTCATAAAATAAAAAATACTCTTTATATTTCTTTAGAAGTAAAAATAATATTTTTATAAAATATATTTATTAATAGTATTATTTATGTACAATACTTAAATAATATTAATTCGTGATCCGTGAGTCGATCACTAGTAATATTTTCCTGATACCCGATTTTCATTCCTTAAATAAAGCCCCAAAGTCTCAAATAGTTTGTTCTTTAAAATAAATTAATAAATTTCTCTCATTATTTGACACGCCAGATTCCCATTTTCTGTAGATCATTTGCAATTGACTCGTAGATCACGGACTCGTGGATCACGAATTGATATAATATAATAATAAATCCGTTTAGATACCCACTTTTACAAAATTTTATTTTTACTAGATATATTTAATATAAAATTTAGTTATCATTAATTTTGACTAGAATAAAAATAATAAATAATATGAAAAAATCGTATTTTTTCGTTTTACATAAACACTATCGCTCTTATTATCTTGGAAAATTATCTTTCTTTCATAAAATTAAATGATATAAATAATAACTGAAATTGGCTCATATCTCAGCCAGTTGGACTTTATTAAAAAAAAAAAAAATTTTATAAATTATCACTATACTGGATAAAAAAAAATAATGTCATATGAATTTTGCAATGTATCTAAAACTTTATGTTACAAGAACCATACACTTCCATTTACTCATTATATTATCAACTTTCCATTATAATTTTGTAAAATAAAATTATTTAACAAATCTCAAGAATTATATAACTAACTCAATTCGTTTATAAAATCATAAACTTGAATATGTAATTGATCATATCTCATAACTTGAATACCATGAACTTTAAACTCTTCTACATCATTAGAACCAATAGGAATACTATCTGTAGCTAAATATGCGACCCTTTTTTCTTTCATAACATATTGCTTAATACAAGATAAAATGATTTCACTATCTTGATGCGTCTTTTCTCTGATTAAAAACCTCCTAATAAAAACATTTTGAGAATTATTGAAAAATACTTTCAAATCATTTATATTGATTTTAAGATCCAAACTTAAATATTCTAATCTATTAGGAAGAATTTGTCCTAAATTTTGTAATATAAGTGAACTAAGATTATCTGATTGATATAAACCAAATTTTGACAAACAAATTGAAAGATAATTAAGATTTTGTTGAATATTTTCAATTAAATTTAATGCTGAAAAAATATTTTTATCATCAAATCCTTGTAAATCTATAAATTTGATTTTATTACAATGAATCTTAACTAATTTAAATGCTTGTAGTTTATAATTGTTATTTATTGATGATCTAAATCCAATATTTTCTAAATAATTACCAGACTTTTGTAATAATAATATTAATAAATCAATTTGTAATATAGAACTTCTATCCATAAATAAAGATCTTAATTTAAATGGTTTAGTTAGATTAATAATTTGCTGAATAATAGTAGAGCTTAAAGAATAACAATAAAGAATATGAATAGAATCTAAAACATTTAATTGATCAAAAATCTCATTAAAATTAATTCCCAAATATTCTAAATAAGTCTTATGAAATATAATTGATTTTAAAGTATTTGAACAATTAGAAATTTGAAAATTTTTTAAAGAATTATTACTACAATCAATATGAATTATTTTAAGGTTTTGTTGTGAATTAATCAGGTTGGATAAACCTTTTTCAACAGGATCATCTATTAAAGAATGAACATAAAGTGATGAAATTGATCTGCAATTATAATAAAAGCATTTCATAAATAGTGATAAATCACTATAACTATTTAAATAAATTTTCAGATTTTTAACATTACAGATAAAATTGGGATTTTGTAAGATTAACTGAAAAGCGGAATTGAAACAAACATAACTACTTAAATCCTTGTCATATAGAAGTCTAAATTCAAAAGTATATAAAGTAGCTTCATTTTCAATAAATATTTTGATTAATGATATGAAAATAAAACTTGACAATTTCAAAACTGCGTCAAAGTTTGAAACCATTGCGTTTATAGCCCAGGTTTCAATAGTACTACGAACTCTGTATGTGTTTAGACATTTAATATAACTAGAATAATTAAATAATATATTTGAAGGAAGCACTTCAGTATTAATTCCATATTCATTCAATTTTATTTTGTCGTCATCATTTAATTTGTGTAAGTAAATATCAATAAAGTGATAATTTTTAGGATACCCCTTTGAGAACGGGTCCTCCCACAATGATGGAATCGCCAAACGACACCATAATCTATTAACTAAAATACATGAATGTAATGTAGAAAAATCATTCCGAAAATACTGTATAATTTCATTTGTTAATTCAGGTAAATCTCCTGAAAAAAATTTTGAACATGCCATATTGAAAAAGAAGGAAAGGGTGAATATTATGATTTAAAATTTTCAAATTTTCAACAAAATTTATATAATGTTTCGGAGTTTCTATTCCCCCGAGACACAATGGATCAGCTGATCATGACATGTCTATAATTAGTGTAATCGCAATGCAATAATTAAATAACCGCAGCTATCTAATCTTAATTTAAGTAAACGCGAGTTTACATCGGAATCCTTATGCATTTCTGAAATCTGTGACAGGTGGAGATAGGAAGGAGTGATGTATACGCGTCACCTGTTCACGTGCAGCCACGAGTTCAAAAACACTAAGTATCTGAGGGACTTAGAATTTTTTTCGTGCCAAAAAATTATTTGTCACCCGTTATCTGTCACCGCGATCGGCATAACCTGTCACAGATTTCAGAGGTGCAATCCTTATTTGGTATGATGCAAATTTTAGTCATGTGACTCAAAAAATATATAGATATTTTTTTCATTAGCTTATAATTCTAATAAAGCTTTAAATGTGGTGGTTCTAACACCCTATAAAAAATTCTGAAAAAAAAAACTCCGATAAATGATCATTTTTCTGAAAAATTTTTTATAGGGATAATATTAAAATAAAATTTATTATTGATATGGTATTAAAAAGGTCACATACTCTCAGATTTTGAATATAAAATTTGCCTAACTTGAAAAAAATATATAATTACCCAAAATTTTTTAAATTATAATATTAGAATCAAATCACACAAAATCTTATAATTACTAGTAGTGTTTACAACTTTGCATGCCAAAACTTTTAAAAATAAATATAGTTAATTATTATATTTAATAACATGAAAGGCTTGTCTGTACCAGAACGATAAATCTCTTTAAACTTTGCATTGTTTATTTGTATTTATGAATGGTATTACATTTTTTTATCTAGTCCGCACAAGATGTTCATGTAACGCAATTGAAATTAGAGGTTGTGAAATAATAAATATTACGTTTCTTCCGTCGGCAGATATGTCTTGTAATATTTGATATAAATTAAATATAGTAACCTGTTGCTTTTCACCTGAACCAATGAACTTAGTATCGTATAATACTTAAATTTTTCTAAATATAAATCAGAATTTTCTTTCAATGTATATATATATTTAATTAACTAATAGATGGTATATAGTTTCGTTTATTTACTAGAGTTAATAATTAGTCAATAAGGATAATAGTAATTATATATTAATTTAAAATATAAAAGTATATGGCAAATTAAATTTACAATATGATTATATTAGAATAATACAGCTATATTTACAGTATAATTATGTTAGAATGATATAAATTATATTTACAATATAAATATATTAAAAATAAATAATAATTAATTGGATAAATCTAATTGTAACAGCCTGTTACGCGTCTTATTTGTAACAACCCCCAATTTTATCCAATTAAAATTTAAGATCAGGCGTAATGTAAACAAAAACAAAAGATCAGTTGTGTAACTAAGACAAAAGAATTTTTTAAAAAATTTCAAGAAACTGCTTATAACTTAAAATTTTGTCTATGAAACTGTCTTAAGTACATTAAGTAAAAGTTTTCCAAATTAAATTTGGCATATAAAAATTTTATTTGTGAAACACATATTAAATTTATTATTAAAAAAAAATAAAAAAAGGATGTTACAAATAAGATATATAACAGGCTGTTACAAATACATTTTTTCTAATTAATTTATAAATTTATTAAAATTACAAAATTTTCCAATAAAATTTTCCAATAAATATTCTATAAAATAGATCTAACAGATCTAACGAAATTTCAAGCCAAAATTCTCAATACCCTTATTAAAAAAATTATTTTCGATAAAACCCTTGTTAAAAAAATATTCTTTCCTTAAAAATATTTTCATCTTATTAAAAAATTCTCAAAAAAAAATTCTTTATCAAGAAGAACTCCCTCCTATTAAAAAAAACTTCTTTAATAAAATTCTCTATCGAAAAAAAAAGATCTCCTTGTTAAAAAATTTTCTAATAAGGAAAACTTTCTTTTAGTTCTGAAGCTTTTTAAAATTTTTGATCATTTTTTTTTAAATGAAAAAAAAACCAAGCGAAAGAAATAGTATTCAACAATAAATATGAGATGATATACTATAAAATGCTTACTAATGTGTAAATGGCGGGTGAATTATTTTAGAATCGGAAATGATCGGTCCATCGGCCGATCATTTGTCCGATTCTAGTAAAATTTTATTTATTCCTAATTAGCCAGGATATAAATAATGCATATTAACTTAATAAGTTAATTTCTAAAAAAACAATTTAATTACATTAATAATCAACATGGTACAAATTTAAAAAACACGGATATATCAGACGCATATACGGGTCACTCTAAATATAACGATTACACAATCTTTTATTTATTATATAGATATTTACTGTACCTCCTGAACAATTCTCATTTAATTACTAAGGTTTATATACAGTAATTTGTCCAAAGTTCTTAAACTTTGCTTTATTAGAACAAAAAATACAAATCAAAGTCACGCAGTCACGCTCGATAAAATCGTTGCAGTCACGTGGTGTCACGTTCAGATTACCTGTACTAAATTGTGTAACCCTGCTTCCATTCGTCAACAGTTATTTGCGGGATTCCAAAAAGGATCATCAACCTTATAAATCAGCCACAAAAATTTTTTATAAAATTATATATAATAAAAATGAATAGTAAAGCTCTCAAAGAATGCCAAAAAAACTTGCACGTGAATGTCAGCAGCATAGTCGCAAAAAACAGTAGATTAAAAATATAAAAAATATAAAATAAATTTATTTAATTAAATATACATTATCTATCTAGTTTAAATAATAGGAGGCTTATACAGTTACATAACCGGTTGATCGAAATTCCGATAGTTGTCATACAATATTTTTTAATAATCAGATCATTGTATAAATAACATGTGTAACCAGCGGAATTGCCGCTCCGAAATTATATAATAAATTTATCATATTTTGACATACCTTCCTAATTTTGAAATATCCTTTTCTCTCCTCTTTCTTTTCGTTTGACAATATGACATGCTCAAAGTTATTTTCAGGAGATTTACCTGAATTATTAGACAAAGTTATACGATATTTTCATTATGATTATAAAACATTACATTCATGTATATTGGTTAATAGATTCTGGGTTCGTATAGCGATCCCATTATTATGGGAAGATCCTTTTTCAAAGAAATTTCCTAAAAATTATCGTTTTATCGAAATTTATTTGCATTATTTGAATGATAATGATAAAGCAAAATTAAATGATTATGAAATTGATTATCATTTATTTTCATCAAATACATTATTTAATTATTCTAGATTCATTCAACGTTTAGATACAAGTAAAGTTCGTAAATCTATTGAAAGATGGACTAAAGCCGTTGGTAGTAGTACTCTTATAACCTCCATACGAAATAGAAATTTACCGTCAAACTTTACAAAATTAATGTTTAAATCATTATTTCTAATATTCATTGAAAACGAAGTCAATTTACATTGTTTTGAAGTTAAAATATTTAATAATCCTGATATGATATATTTTGATTTGATTATTGAATTAATTTTACAAAACCCGAATTTCATTAATAATATTAAAAGTTTAACATTTTATTTTGATATCATAATAAATAATAACATAATAAAATTTATTAGATTTCTCGATTCTACTAATTATTGTAATCCAATTTCATCACTTTATTTAAAATTTCATAATTCAACAATTAAAAAAATTTCATTACAAATAATTAAATCTCAAAAAAATATTAAAAAAATTTCATTTGACTGTAATGGTCGATTCTTGGACAATTTAGTATTGTTATCATTAAAAAATACTAATTGTTCAAATACATTAAATTCAATTATATTTTATTTCGTTGATTTTGAAAAAATAGATGTTTTAAGTGAAGTATTTAATTATTTGAATGTTTTAGAATCAATTCATATTATTTATTGTGATAGTATAGATTATAAATTTACTCAACAAATTAATAATATTATTAAACCATTTAAATTGAAATCTTTATTTTTGGATTTAATGGATGAAAACGATGAATTATTAGAGCCATTAATAGAAAAGTCTGGCGATTATTTAGAAAATCTTGGATTTATTTACAGTAGATCAAGATCACAAAGATTACTACAATTAATTATAAAGTATTGTAGCAAAATTAAATGTTTGGTTCCTACTTGGCCGAATAGTCAGAGTATTCATTTAGTATTCAACTTAATTGAACTTATTAATCAAAATCTTAATTATCTTTTTATTGATCCCTTTGTTATTAGCTATAATGATCATTATTATGATGCTAGTTCAATTATATTACGAAATTTAGGACAAATTCTTCCCGTTAGATTGGAATATTTGGATTTAATTCTTAGAATTAATACAAATGATTTAGAAATATTCTTAAGAAATTTACAAAATAATTTTATTAAAAAATTGTTAATTAATGGAATAAAGGAAAAAGAAGGTCAAGATATTTTCCCATATATAAAAGAATTTATTGTGGAAAAGAAACGAGTTAAATATTTGGCTATTAAAGAAACGTTTCATTATGAAGAAAATGATTGGTTTTTCCAGAAGGACAAAGTAGAGGAAATTGAATTATATGATATTCAAGTTTTAAAATATAAAGATTTGTTTATTGATATTAATGATTTTATAAAAGAAACTTATTAACTATATATTATAGTATGTAATTTAGATTATTTTATATTATTATTACAATAAATAAAGTTACACTATTTACTTGATAAAATTAAAGTATACTAATAATGTATCAATGTATTGTATTAAATGTTACCAATCAGCTGTTGAGCACAAGCTGCTAAAAAATATATATAGGTGGTTACGTACTAATCCATCGACTTTCATACCGAATCAACGTCTACTATACCTAGTGATGAAACTATACAATCTGTACTAGCAACATTAATTTAGAACCTTCTTACTAACTCTTTTTATATAGCCATATGTTTTATTAGAAACATAATTGCCAATAAAAATTAAATATAATATCACCATTAACGCCGTTTAATTTAGAAAAAAATTCTTCAAATGTTTTGTATGCGCAACGCTGATTCCCTTAGCCTTATACTGATGGTACAGTTAAACAGATTGCAACGATATCTTGTAAATGATTTTGGATGGATTGAAACAGAATATACTAACTCAACCATCCAATATTCAAAGGAAACATTGCATTCTTACCTTTTTCCACCAAGGCAGAAGTAATGGCAATCGTGACTGCTTTGACAGTACTTCCAAATACTTGCAGTATCAAATCTATATAGACTCAGATGCCATTATTGATTTTTTAGTATTTTGAGTTGGTGTAATATGTTTAGGTATTTACGTTTATTATTCTTGTTAAAAATTTTAATATTAAAATAGTATCATATTTAAAAATCATACCGATCATCTAATCTTCTAAATTAAAAAAATTGAAGGATATTTTCTATGTATTTTTTTTCTATAACTGTTAGTTTAGAAAAAGTTTTTTTTTTTTGCATGAAATCCATTCAATTTTGATTGAAGCTGATAATTCGGGATTGATTAATAATTGATTGGCTCAATCAATAATTGATATTACAAAATTTGATTAAGAAGTAAGAATCTAAAGTGCGCCTCATTCGCTTTAACTAAAATATAAGTATGATGTTGAATTTAACGTTGCCTTTAAGGCTTTCAAACTAGTAACCAAATTTTATCTTTCAAAAAAAGGAATGGGATAAATTTTGCATCTTGATAAGCAATGATTACAAAATGATTTTAAAATGAATATTAAATAATAGTTATTGGTTAGACTATTGGAATAATGTTGATTTCGATGATTGATATTTTTTGCTATAAAATATATTTGCAATTATAAATTAGTTTTTTAATTTAAATTTGTTATTCAATAAGTTTTAACATCAAATGAAAATATCATATAAATACCTACTTATATTTTTATATACTATCGTTGAACCATCACAATAACTTATATTAGTTATAATAATCCTACGATTGTTAATAAAATATTACTTTATTCGATTGTAGGACTTCTAATAATTTAATAATAAGAAAAAAAGAAGGAAAAATACATACTGTTACATAATGATAGTTACTATTACATAATATTTTATTCTTTGGATGACTTATTTGTTAATACATAAGCTAATAATGCATTAAAAATTAGTTATTTTGTTGCATAAGTAAAGGTTTTATAAGTTATCTTCCAGATTCAGCTTCTAGATCTCGTACTGCAATGTTACATTTATATCAATTCCACAGCGATAAAATTTTGTTAAATAAATTTGAATATATAATCTTGTTTACGTATAAATATAAATAACTAATACATTTCATTTATAAATTTACAAACTTGAATGCGTGAAACATCATAATTTGTAACTTGAATATCATAAAGTTTAAACTCTTCTACTTCATCCTTTGAATGAAAAAGATCCTTTATAGTTGTTACTCTATTAGAGGAAATAAAAAAAACCTTTACAGCTAAATATGCGACCCTTTTTTCTTTCATAATATATTTCTTAATGCAAGGTAAAATGTCATCGCTTTCTTGCCTATTTATGATTAATAATTTCCTAATAAAAACATTTTTAGTATCTTTAAACAACACTTCCAAATCGTTTATACTGAATTTAAGATCCAAACTTAAATATTCTAATCTATTAGGAAGAATTTGTCTCAAATTTCGTAATATAATTGAACTAAGTTTTGATTGAGAATTAATAGTAAGATAATTAAGATTTTGTTGAACATTTTTAATTAAATCAAATGATGCGAAAATATTTTGATCACCATATCCAAATACTTCTAAAAATATAATATTATTACAATAAATTTTGATCAATTTAATGAATTGTAGATCAGTTTCATGATCCATTGATAATTCAAATCCAATATTTTCCAAATAATTACCCGACTTTTGTAATAATAATTTTAATGACTCAATTTGTGTTGCATAAAATTCATCTATAAATAAGGATTTCAATTTAAATGGTTTAGTTAAATTAACAATTTGTTGAATAATGGTAGAATTTAAAGGAGAAGAGCAATAAAGAATATGAATAGACTCTAAAACATTTAATTGTTCAAATATCTCATTAAAATCAAATTTCAAATTCTCGAAATCAATTCCATAAAATATAATCGTTTTTAAGGTATTTGAACAATTGGAATTCTTTAAACTTTTTAAAATACAAATTTCAGAATCAAAACAAATCTTTTTAAGGTTTTGTTGTGAATGAATTATTTTAGATAAATCTTTTACAGCATAATTTTCTATCAAAGAATAAATATAAAGTGATGAAATTGATTTACAATTAGAATAAAAACATTTTAGTGATGACAATAAATTACTAGTTAATCTGCGAAAATCAAATTTTAGGTCTTTAACGTTACAAATGAAATTTGGATTTTGTAGGATTAGTTGAAAGGAGGATTTAAAATAATCACTATTAAAAATATATTGAACTTCAAAAGTATGTAAACTAGCTTCATTTTCAATAAATACTTTGATTAATGAAAAAAAAATAAAATTTGACAATTTCAAATCTTTATCATAAGATGAAACTTTTGCATTTTCAATCCAATTTTTAATGGAAGAAACAGTATTTTTTATATTTAAACATTTAATAAATTTAGGATAATTAAATAATGTATTTGAGGGAAATAAATCTGTAATAATTCCATATTCATTTAATTTTACTTTGTCATCTTTCTTTAATTTATCTAAGTAAATATCAATAAAATGATAATTTTTAGGAAGATACTTATAAAATGGGTCCTCCCACAATAATGGAATTGCCAAACGACACCATGACCTACTAACTAAAACACATGAATGTAATGTCGAAAAATCTTCTTGAAAATTCTGCATAATTTTACTTGTTAATTCAGGCAGATTTCCTGAAAATATTTTTGAACATGCCATATTTGAAAAAGAAAAAGGGATATTATGATGTTTTTAAAAATTTCAAAAAAAATTATAAAGTTTTCGGAATTTCCATAATTCTTATTCCCCGCGATATTTGAACACAACAGATCAGCTGATCATTTGTTTGATCATGTGACACAAACAAGTTTCTTCTTACGTCAGTTGAATGACTCTTGATTTGCGTACTAATAACAGATTAATAAAATTAAATGTCTAAACTTTCTGAACAATTAATTATTTATTAAGGCCTCACCTATTTGAAATTATGTTAAGCATCATGTTGGAAAGAAGATAACTAACCATTCTAACTACCTATCTAGAACTAAACCAATGTAATCTATATCTATCTTATTACAAGTAAGAACAAAAAGGCTAAAAAAATAACATACATAAACACAAAACAACGGAAAAAACTATTTTTTTCGCCAAATTTCTACTAATGAATAATGAAGTCTCATACATCACCTGTCAAGCATAGGCGCATGGAATAATTCCTTCTCCTTTCCTATCTCCCCAATGGTAGAAGTTCTCGTTCGTCCACACATCTAATGATCGTCAAGTGACGTCACAAAGTGCAAATTTTTTATTGTTGTTTAACGACGGGTTAATTTATTCCGAACTTCCTGATCTGCAAAATCACCTCATCTACTAACATCCTCATTGGTTCACTATCCCCAAAAAATATTTTTTTTTTTTGTCCAGAAAACGTGATGATATTTTTTCTGCGCCTTCAGAAGCCAAAAAATTTCGAAAACCAACCCGAAGACTAAAGGAATAGAATACGAAATCGTCCTTCTAGGCGAGGAAATTAATCCTTCGGAAATGGCCAGCTGTTTTTAGTCTTTTTTTCCCTAGTACTTTTTGCAACGTCTCTTTTTTTGAAGAAAAGTGCGTATTTTGAAGATAAGCCAGACAATGTTCGGTGATATCATTTTTCGGATTTAGAGTTGATATTTGTCGCTCAATATTCTTTATATAGAAGCAAGCAGATCATGTACTAGTAGTGATCATGTGCAAATACAGGATTTTGTGCAACAAACGGAATTTCCGCTCCGAAATTCGTACGATAAATTTACCATATATGACGTAATTTTTAATTTCGACATGCTTCCTTTTTTTTCATTTAATATGGCATGTTCAAAGTTATTTTCAGGAGATTTACCTGAGTTGATAAACGAAGTTATACAATATTTTCATTATGATTATAAAACATTACATTCGTGTATATTTGTTAATAGATTATGGTGTCGTTTAACAATTCCATTATTATGGGAAGATCCATTTTCAATTAAATCCCCTAAAAATTATCGTTTTATTGAAAGTTATTTACATAATTTGAATAATGATGATAAAGCAAAATTTAATGATTATATAATTAATAATGACTTATTTCCTTCAAATACATTATTTAATTATCCTAGATTCATTCAACGTTTAGATACACATAAAGTTTGTAATTTTATTGAAAAGTGGGCAGTAACTGTTGGTAGTACTTCAACAACTAAAGAACAACATTCCAGCTATTTTATACAAAATACAAATTTATCATCTTCACAAATGTCAAACTTTACAAAACTAGTTATTAGGTCATTATTTCTAATATTCATTGAAAACGGGGTGAGCTTACATAGTTTTGAAGTTATTATGTTTAATCATAAAGAATTTGAATATTTTGATGAGATTTTTGAATTAATTTTACAAAATCCGAATTTCATTTATAATATTAAAAGTTTTAAACTCGATTTTAATACAATAACTAATAACATAACAAGATTTTCAACTTTTCTTTATTCTAATTGCAATTCAATTTCATCACTCCACTTTCTATTTCCATCATATGTTGAAAATTATCCAACTGAAAAGTGCTTAGCACAAATAATTAGTTCCCAAGAAAATCTCAAAAAGATTTTATTTGGTTATAGCGAATTCCCTTTACACCATTCGCTATTATCATTAAAACACTCTAATTGTTCAAATACATTAAACACAATCATATTTTATCATATTGATTTTGGTAATATAGTTGTTTTAAGTGAAGCTTTCAATCACCTGAATGTTTTAGAATCAATTCATATTATTTATTGTTATTCTCTAGATTCAAAATTTATTCAACAGATTAATAATATTACTAAACCATTTAAATTGAAATCCTTATTTCTGGGATTTCTGGGTGAAGTTGATGAATCATTAGAACGATTAATACAAAAGTCTGGCGATTATTTAGAAAATTTTGGAATTAGTAACGATGAATCACAACAATTACTACAATTAATTATGAAATATTGTAGTAAAATTAAATATTTGGGTCCTATTAGGCTGGATAATCAGAGTATTTATTTATTATTAAGTTTAATTGAAAATATTACGCAAAACCTCAGTTATCTTATAATTGATGCTTTTAATGTTGATTATAGTTCAATTATATTGAAAAATCTAGGACAAATTCTTCCTATTAAATTAGAATATATGTATCTTTGCCTTACAATTAATACAAGTGATCTGGAAGTATTCTTAAAAAATTCTCAAAATACTTTTATTAAAAAATTGTTAATCAGAAATATAAGAAAAGAAGAAAGTGGAGATATTTTCTCTTATATAAAAGAATATATTATGAAAAAGAAAAAGGTTAAGTATTTGGCTGTTTCAGAAACTTTTCATGGAAGAAATGAAGATTTGTTTTTTCAGAAAGATAAAGTAAAGGAATTTCAATTACATGATATTCAAATTTTAAAATATTTTGATTTGTTTATTGATATTTATGATTTTATAAATGAAACTTATTAATTATTTTATGTATTACTATTTTTGTATCATCAATATAAATAAAGTTATACCATATATTTATCATTTAAAGAATAAAGTTACAGTATGATAATTTAAAGAAATAATTTAATCATTATATTATTATTATACTTTCGTATACTAATTAATGTATTGGATTAATATTTAGAATATTTTTAATACATTAATACTGAATTTTGTTATTTATCGAAATTCTGATTAACTATTACTAACTATTTAAAAGGTATCCGAATTTGAAAAAAACATTGTAATTGGTTGCTTATAACGATAACTATGGTGCGTTTATAAATCATATGATTGAGACATTAACCAAATAAACCACGAAAGCTTTATTATTTATGGTAAAAAAATCTCTGCTTCAAAATTTGTAAACAAATAATTTTCACAATATTTTGTAGTAAGCATTATGAATACAATTCATGAAACTTGTGTGGTACAATTATTAATAATGTTTTTATTTATAAAAAAAAAAGATTGCGAATGATCAAAAAATCAATTATCGAAACCATTTTGAAAAGTTTCGTTTTATCATTAGTAATGTTTTATTGATTTTAATCCAATTAAATCCATGATAATAAATAATTTATTCTTACTACATACTAAATTCATAAACATCATAGTCGATTATTTAATGATTCATATATTAATTCATGTGATTTCCTGCATAATTAAATTAATTCATGATTATTTTTATTGGCATTTTTATTCTTAAAGCAATTTACAAATGCTAAAACAGATATGTATAGTATTTAAGCTATCAAATATTTATAGAAAAAGTAGTAGAATACTTACATTAAAAGTTTGCAATTTGTAAAACCAGTTCTTTAATTTATTTCATTTATAACGGGCATATTGATGCTCATTGAATCATCATTAATAAAATAAAATTTAATTATTATTTTTTGCCTTTGCGCTCACTATGGATTAATTATTGTGATTCAAATGAAATTTCAAAGTTAAAAGTAAAAATACTGTTTTTGAATGTTAGTACGTTCCTTTAATGCAATTGAAAGCCCAACTCCCTTTACATAGTCCTTACAGTTATTACAAAAAAAGTTTCAAAAAAGAAATTCCAGTCCAGAAATTAAAAAGGTAACAAATCTTTGCATCTGACAAGCTTATAGAATATGTTTGATAAATACTAAAATCAACCATTTCGAAGGAGACTTAAGTAATCGAATAATACCTCTATTACTACAAAATATCATAATATATTTATTTATCATCTTTTAATTGAATAAAAGGTATTATTAACCAGATCACTGTAATACATAACTTTTATATTACTATATAATTGGAATTCCTCCACTTTATCTTTCTGGGAAAATAAATCTTCATATTTTTCATTAAAATTCTCCACAATAGCCAAATACTTGACTCTATTCGTTTTCATAATATATTCTTTTATATAGGGGAAAATATCTTCATTTTCTTCTTTCTTTATATATTTTATTAACAATTTTTTAATGAAAGTGCTTTGAGAATTCTTTAAGAATATTTCCAAATCACTGGTATTAATTGTAAGACTCAAATTCAAATATTTTAATTTAAAAGGAAGAATTTGTCCTAAATTTTGTAATATAATTGAACTAGAACCATAATTTATATAATTATAGCTAATATTAGAGGCTTCAATTGTAAGATAATTAAGATTTTGTGTAATATTTTTAATTAATCTAAATAATAAATAAACATTCTTGTTATTTTTATGATTAAATCGAATAGGACCCAAGTAGTTAATTTTGCTACAATATTTTATAATTAATTGTAGTAATTTTTGTGATATATTGTGATTAACTCCAAAATTTTCTAAATAACAGCCAAATTTTTGTATTAATGGTTCTAATATTAATTCACTTATTTTATCATCCAAAAATAAAGATTTTAATTTAAATGGTTTTGTAATATTAATAATCTGTTGAATAAATTTAGAATCTAAAGAATAACAATTAATAATATGAATTGATTCTAAAACATGTAATTGATTAAATACTTCACTCAAAATATCTATGTTTTTGAAATCAATATGATGAAACATAATTGTATTTAATGTATTTAAGCAATTAGGGTTTTTTAATGATGATAAGTAATGGTAAATTGGATATTCTTCAATAAACCTAAATGAAATCTTTCTGAGTTTTTCTTGAGATTTAATTATTTGTAATAAGCTTTTTTCAACTATTGAATGATAATATACACTTGATGCCATTGATGGGAATAGAAAATCAAGTGATGAGATTGAATTGCAATTCGAATGGATAAATATTAAAAATCTTTTTGTATTATCAGTTATCATCATATCAAAATCAAGTTGAAGATATATGATATTACAGATGAAATTTGGATTTTGTAAAATTAATTCAATAATATCACCACATGTTGGAGTTATTTTTATTTTAAAACTATGCAAACTAACTTCATTTTCAATGAATATCAGAAATAATGATCTAAAAATATGTTTTACTCTTGTTGTTGAAGTCCCGACAGTTGCAACCCATTTTTCAATAGAAAACCAAACTTTATATGTATCTAAACGTTGAATGAATCTAGGATAATTAAATAATGTGTTTGAAGGAAGTAATTCATTATGAATTACATATTCATTTAATTTTGCTTTATCATCATTATTCAAATAATGTAAATAAATTTCAATGAAATGATAATTTTTAGGGGATTTAATTGAAAATGGGTCTTCCCATAATAATGGAATTGCTAAACGACACCATAATCTATTAACCAATATACATGAATGTAATGTTTTATGGTTATAACGAAAATATTGTATAACTTCGTTTATTAATTCTGGCAAATCTCCTGAAAATAACTTTGAACATGCCATTATTGGAGAGAGAGAGAGGAATTCTGAAATTGCCATTTTATGGATTAGCTGTAATTATTTATAAACATACTGTAATTATTATTTATAAACATACTGTAATTATTATTTATAAACATACTGTAATTATTATTTATAAGCATATTGTATTATTTATAAACCTGTCTCTTATACACATCTAGATACTGTAATTGTTATTTATAAACATACTGTAATTATTATTTATAAGCATATTGTATTATTATTTATAAACATACTGTAATTATTTATAAACATACTGTAGTTCTTTATATATAGACATACTGTAATTATACTGTAATTATTTATCAACATACTGTAATTATTTATAAACATAATAATCAGTCAAAATAAGAATCTCAGTATGTTTACTTGATTCAGTTAGAAAAATTTGATATACAATAAAAAGCATAGTAATATTAAAATTGTTTCTTTAGTTACTGTATTTAATTTTACATCATTCTATATATTTAGATTACATAAATAACTAATCAACTTCTTTTATAAAATTATAAAAATCGATAAGCAAATCATCATAATTTAAAACTTGAATATCATGTAATTGAAATTCCTTTACTACATCTTTCTGAAAAAACAAATCTTCATTTTCTCCATAAAAAGTTTTTGAAATAGCCAAATACTTAACTCTTTTCTTTTTTACAATGTATTCTTTTATATAAGGCAAAATATCTTGACTTTCATCATTCTTTGTATTTCTAATTAGAAATTTTTTAATAAAAGTATTTTGAAAATTTTCTAAAAAAATTTTCAAGTCACTTGTATTAACTGAAAGAATTAGATTCAAATATTCTAATTTAAGAGGAAGAATTTGTCCTAAATTTTGTAATATAATTGAACTAATATTATGTCTATCAAAGTAATTAAAATCAATATAATTAATTATAAGGTAACTAAGATTTTGTGTAATGTTTTCAATTAAACTAAATAATAAATAAACACTCTCATTATCTAACCAAGTAGTTTCCAAATATTTGATTTTACTACTATATTTTATAATTAATGGTAGTAGTTGTTGTGATTCATTGTCTGTAATTCCAAAACTAATTCCAAAATTTTCTAGATAATTACCAGATTTTTGTATTAATAATTTCAATGATTCAATTTGTAATGTTTCATGCAAAAATAAAGATTTTAATTTAAAAGGTCTAATAACATTACTAATTTGTTGAATAAAATTATAATCTAAGGAATAACAACAAACAATATGAATTGATTCTAAGACATTCAGTTGATTGAATACTTCATTTAAAACAATTATATCTTTAAAATTGACATAGTAAAAGATAATTGTGTTTAATGTGTTTGAGCAATTATGACTTTTTAATGATAATAATGAATGATACAATGGGAATTTATTAAAACCGAATGAAATCTTTTGAAGATTTTCTTGAGAATTAATTAATTGTGATAAACTTTTTTCAATTATAGAATAAGTAGAAATATCATAATACCTGTCTCTTATACACATCTAGATGTGTATAAGAGACAGGTAAAAGATAATTGTGTTTAATGTGTTTGAGCAATTATGACTTTTTAATGATAATAATGAATGATACAATGGGAATTTATTAAAACCGAATGAAATCTTTTGAAGATTTTCTTGAGAATTAATTAATTGTGATAAACTTTTTTCAATTATAGAATAAGTAGAAATATCATAATACTTTGGAACTATAATATAAAGTGATGAAATTGAATAGCAATTAGAGTAGACAACTCTTAAAAATTTTGTTATGTTATCAGCAGTTATTATATACAAATTAATTTCAAAATTTTTAATATTATAAATGAAATTCGGATTTTGTAAAATTAATTCAAAAATCTCATCAAACCAATCAATATCAATATCTTTAGGCAACGTAACTTCAAAACTATGCAAATTTACTTTGTTTTCAATGAATATTAAGAATAATGACTTGTATATTAATTTTGTAAAGTTTAATATTTGTATAAATGTTAAATTTGTATTTCGTACAAAATATCGCTCATTGCTCGTTGTTGAAGTTTTAACAGTTGCAATCCACTTTTGGACAGAATAACAAACTTTGTATGTATTTAAACGCTGAATAAAACTAGGATAATTAAATAATGTATTTGTAGGAAATAATTCATTATGAATTACATATTCATTTAATTTCGTTTTATCATCATCATTTAAATAATGTAAATAAATTTTAATGAAATGATAATTTTTAGGATCTTTAATTGAAAAAGGATCTTCCCATAATAATGGGATTGCTAAACGACACCATAATCTATTAACCAATATACATGAATGTAATGTTTTATGGTTATAACGAAAATATTGTATAACTTTGCTTATTAACTCAGGTAAATCTCCTAAAAATAACTTTGAACATGCCATATTAAACGAAAAAAAAGGAAGAGAGAAAAGGGGATTCCGAAATAAGAGATTCCGAAATAAGAAGTTCACGTCAAATATGGTAAATTTATTGAATTTCGGAGCGGAAACTCCGTTTGTTGCACACATGATCACTATGATCTACAAAAATTAATTGTGCGACAAATATCATACCGATCTTAATTGAATAAAGCTTGATCGTCGGTCATATGTTTTTTTTTTTTTTTTTTAAAAAAAAAAAAAAAATCAATATTCATAATTTTCATTTGTACATCATTTTTTTATACCATAATTGTTTCATATTTTAGTAACTAAACGATAATAAGACCTAATTTACTCCTAAAAAAAAAAATAAATTATAGAAAATTAATTCGTTTTCATTAATTAATTATACTAGAAGAAATTTATAAATTAATTTTTGATAAATGTAATAATGTAAAACAATTCTCTTTTGTACTACTAGAAAAATATTGTAACTAGTACGTTTTTACCAAGTAGTATTGAAAGTTTAATAATTGAAAAGCCGGTGAGAACATTTTAAAATTGATATACGCTTTCCACTTAATGGGTTTGAAGATTATCCAGACAAAAATAATCAACTGCTGATTAGGGCAATATCGAAAAGTTAACTATAATCAAACCCTGCTATTTTTCTAGCCCAAGCTGAATTCAGTCTTTACTGAAGAAAAAGCCAACCCCGATTTACACCTTAGACCTTGGATTATCAGCAACAAACCCAATTTCAGCAACTATTAAATGATTATGCAGATATCTGCGCGAAAAGTCAGACAGAAATTGGACGTACAAATGTTATCAAGCATAGGATTATCACTAAGGGTGCTACCCCTATATCTCTCAACTATAAATATTGACCCTACAAATTTGATAGAAATTAACAGAATTTTTTCTAATTGTACACTCTTAGAAAAAATAAGGTTTACGGCGGATGTACATCATAATCCCAAAGTTGATGTTGTTTGCTACTCGCGAAGTTGTAGATCTTAATGAAGACAAATCATTAAGGATTATAATTAATGTATCTCCTAAACTATATGAAAATTTTCATTTGGATACAAATGAAATCTCACAACAGAAGGGTTAGAATCATTTTTTGAGAGTTGGAAATACCAAAAAGATTTCCAATTAAATTTGAACACGATAAGTTGGTGGCTAAGTATAATGCGACCAGGTAAATACGTACTGTAAAGTTATTTAATTAATATATGGCAAGCCGAGTTGGACAAAATTATCAGACATTGCGCGATAAAATATCAAGCATGGCTAGACAAAATGTCACTCTGTGTCTGACATTTTACCTGTTTATGCTTGATTTTCATCTGTCCCGTGCTTGATATTTATCTGTATGTGCTTGATATTTTTATCTGTTCATGCTTGATGTTTATCTATCACGTGCTTGATATTTTTATCTGTTCATGCTTGATG